TTTAAAAAAAAGTTTAGGGAGGCAGAGACAGGCGGATCTCTGTGAGTTCGAGGCCAGCCTGGGCTACCAAGTGAGCTCCAGGAAAGGCACAAAGCTACACAGAGAAACCCTGTCTCGAAAAAAAAACGGAAAAAAAAAAAAAAAAGAATGAGACATTTAGGCTGAAGAGACAGGACGTAGGCGCCATGACGTTTGATGTCTACATTCAGGACAACACAGAAGTCTAAGCGAAGGGAATAGTTGAGTTTTGGAGATGAGTTTGAGGTGCAGAGAGGACATGTTCCTGTGACATTTAGTGAGCAAACAGACACTACCTTGAACTCCAGTGAGTATCTGGGATGGAACCGACCCAAGAAGCCATCACCATGAATGTGATAACTGAAGCTTTGGGTGTGTGTGAGACCCATAAGAGAGGATGTGAGGGTCTGAGGAAATCAGGCTCGTGACGGAATTTTGGGGATGTGATTAAAGGATAAATAGATGGAGAGGGGGCGATGTGGGTCGGTGGCAGAGTGCTCACCTAGCAAACAAAAGGCCCTAGGTTTCATCAGCAGTGAAAACAAACAAAACTGAGAAATGATGATGCTCCTATGGAAGAATGGCTGAAAGGACGGGAAGAAAACCAGACTATTCCAGATCATGTAGAGCATGGCTGCAGTTCAAGATTGGACTCTTAGACTGTGCTTCACTGCCTTGCAGTCCTGTACCACATGTGTTTCTCAGGCTGGACTGCAAAATCTACCGGCCGTGTTCACTGGTTTACCCTAGCACGTTCTTCTGCATGTTATTTAGCACATGGTAGCTAGTAAAATAAAGGGGCCATGGCGGATGCTCACCAGATTGTGGAAAGTGCCTTTCCTAATGAGTAGGTTCTAAACTGCACTTCATTTCAAGCTGTGTGGCCAATGATGAATAAAAGGAGGATGGAACTTGGGACCTTGGAAGTTCTGTAACTAAGACATGGAAGTAACAACAGCTAGCCAAGACAAAAAGAATGTTCCTTTCTTTCCCCTTCCAAGTTCTTAGTGAAGGGCCGAACCCAGGATCCCAGACTTGTGTGACTAGGTAAATATTAGGAGACTAACTTCACTTTGGTACCCTCCCTCCAGTGGCCTCAAGATGGCTTCTCGGGAGACAGAGGCTTCTAAGCACCAAAGCGCCGCCCCACAGCGCAAGCCTAACATCATGGGGAAGGGAGACACTTCGGACACAACACCAGCTACCCCAACCTATCGCTCTGTCATGGAGGAGTACGGTTATGAGGTGGGCAAGGTCATCGGCCACGGCTCCTACGGAACAGTCTATGAGGCGTACTACACAAAGCAGAAAGTCCTGGTGGCTGTCAAGATCATCTCAAAGAAGAAGGCCTCCGATGACTACCTTAACAAGTTCCTACCGCGTGAGATACAGGTCAGAAAGGGAGCTGAAAGAGGGAACTGAGGCTTATTAATAAGCTCCTTGAGGTGTCTTAAGGGGAAACTATAGAAAGGGGTTGATCCAGAAACCTCCAAACCAGAACTGAAAGTCTTAAGTAGGAAAATCCTGTAATGTATATACACATAACCTCTTTCCTATGTACAAACATCCAGCCCACTATCCATGCCCGAGTTAAAATGCAAAATGGAATTTACCCAGACACCAGCTGATTCTGTTGCAAAGTTGTAAGTAGCAATGGGAGAGTAGAGAGAAGACCAGCACAGCCAGCGTTGGCCAGGCTTGACGGTTCCCTCTTTCGGAATCAGGTAATGAAAGTCTTACGGCACAAGTACCTCATCAACTTCTACCAGGCCATTGAGACCACATCCCGAGTATACATCGTTCTGGAGCTGGCTCAGGGCGGTGATGTCCTCGAATGGATCCAACGCTATGGGGCCTGCTCTGAGACGCTTGCTGGCAAGTGGTTCTCCCAGATGGCCTTGGGCATCGCCTACCTGCACAGCAAGGGCATCGTGCACCGGTGAGGAGAGTCACCGGACCGGGCTTGGGGCACTCAGGGGAGTTTTATGCATATTGCCCATTTTCTGCCCTTTTCTCTTGACTTCTCTCAATATCTAAGTCCACTTGTTCACCGTACTGTAATCACCTGGTCAAGGACACTTGCATCCACTGTGTGGGGGCACTTTATACACAGTGGTGAACTAGTGGCCTCAGGTACCATCCTCTCTCCTTTTGGGGCTCTGTTCACAACTCCATGGCTTTGGATCTTCTTTTTTTTTTTTTTTTTTTTTTTTTTTTTTTTTGAGATGGGGTTTCTCTATGTAGCCTTGGCTGTCCTGGATCTCACTCTGTAGCCCAGGCTGGCCTCGAACTCAGAGACCCACCTGCCTCTGCCTCTCAAGTGCTGGGAGCTGGGATTAAAGGCGTGCGCCGCCACCGCCCGGCCCCTCTTTAGTTCCCCCTCTTAGCCTGTCCTCAGCTCTAGACTTCTGACCCCCTCCCTTTCAGCTCCCGGTCTAATACTAAGCCCTCTCCCCAGCCTGACCCCCAGCCTTTCTGCTGCTGGTAGGGACTTAAAGTTGGAGAACCTGTTGCTGGACAAGCGGGAGAATGTGAAGATATCGGACTTTGGCTTCGCCAAGATGGTGCCTTCTAGCCAGCCTGTGCGTAGTAGCTCTTCCTACCGCCAAATGAGCTGTCTTTCCCACCTCAGCCAGACCTACTGTGGCAGCTTTGCCTACGCCTGCCCCGAGATCTTGCTAGGCCTGCCCTATAGCCCTTTCCTGTCTGACACCTGGAGCATGGGCGTCATCCTCTACACCCTAGTGGTTGCACGTCTGCCCTTCGATGACACCAATCTCAAGAAGCTGCTGAGAGAGACCCAGAAGGAGGTCACCATCCCAGCTAACCTCAACATCTCCCAGGAGTGCAAGGTGCTGGCTCCCCCAGGAGGGCTGAGGCCTTAGGGATGACCCAGGGGGAGGGGAGGTAAATACTGAATTTAGGCCTCCCAACTCCCACACCCCTGGGGGGGGCGTGTTTTTCTCATGCTAGAGCCATCTCCAGTTCCTACCCGAAATGGCGGGGAGGGCTCAAGAGGGTCTAACCACTGAGCTTCAAACCCTGATAGTTAGGTTCCAGTAGTGAGCCCTCTGGGGCAGAAGGGATCGCGCAAAGAGCTCTTCTCGTTTCTTGCCAGGGTTCCTGTGTAACACCAGGGCCCCAGCCCCTTTCACCAGAGTAGTGTGATGGGGCTCTCCTGCTTCTTCCTTAGGTCCGGCTGTTCACTGTCTGCGTGGCCCACAGGGGGGGCACGCTCAGCGAAGTCCTCTCTCTCCCCTGCCCTAGAACCTGATCCTCCAGTTGCTACGCCCAGCTAACAAGCGTGCCACTATCCTGGATGTCCTCAAGGACCCCTGGATGCTCAAGTTCCAGCCCGAGCAACCCGTGAATGAGCTCAAGCTGCTCGAGGCCATGTATCAGTCTGTCAGCGCCCCTAACCGGCACCAATCCTTGGAAATCACAACTTGATGATGGCTGAGGTGGGGGGGGGGGGGCAAGGAGAAAAGCAGGAGGCTCTGGGGGGGAAATCTTTTATATAAAAATAAATCTAATTAGTTTCATCATGTAGGGTCAAAGACATTCTTTCCTCCACGGAGTCTTAGTTCTCCACGGAGAACACACTAAGGGTGGATTTCTGCCCCAAGCCTGGAACCCTCACTTTTTTGGGGGGGGAACCCTTATTCTTGACACATGTAAAAGTTAATACATTGACTTGGGAAGCTTTACTATGCCAATGACGTTTGTGGCTCTTATTTCACATTTTTGTTCTCTAATGTTCTAGCAGCAGATGGGACAAGGAGGGAAAAGCCTGGGTCGTTCTGCTGGATGCTGGCTCTGCCCATTTACATGTTCAAAGCATTGTTCTTTCTGTTTTGTGTCTGCTCCCAACTTGGATAAGTTTTCACTGGAAAGAGGAATGAGCAAAGGAGCAGGACAGCCTGTTTCTCCATGTTCACGCTGCCGACATGATACACGGAAACGTCAGGGCTTGCTTAGTGTCTGGGTGCGCGGCGCTTTCCTCCGGAAACACTTCAACCACTCCTGAAAGAATGCCGGGGTCCCAGGGCTCTTAGATACTGAAGTAACAGAGTTCAAGCCCAGCCTCATGAACTGTGGGTTCTGGATAAAGGAGAACTAGTTGCCCCTGCAGAAGAAAATTGAGGCATGACTGAGCCAAGCAACGAGAAAGACTCACATTGGCTCCTCATATCTGATTTCCTCTCTTCTCTCGCCCCTCCCTTCCTCCTCCAAGTGTCCTAGAACTCCCTCTGTAACTCAGACTGGCCTTAAGCTCATGATCCTCCTGCCGTAGCCTCCAGAGTGCTGGGATTACAGGCCTGTCCCACCATGTCTGGCTATCAACATGTTTCTAAGCTAATTTTCCCTCCTCCTACTTTGTTTAAATAGTCTGTTTGTTTTGAGACACAGGGTATATCTGTGCAGCCCTGGCTGGTCTGAACTCAGAGAACTGCCTGCCATTGTCTTCTTGAGTGCTGAGGTTAAAAGCATATGCCACCACACCTGGTATTGATGGCAATTTCTTTCTTTCTTTCTTTCTTTCTTTCTTTCTTTCTTTCTTTCTTTCTTTCTTTCTTTCTTTCTTTCTTTCT